AATTGAACATTTTCAATTTAATTCTTTTATGAGTTTTTCAAAATCATTTTTAATGAATTGAGAATTCCGGCGAATAATCGGCGAATTTTCAAATCGAATTTTCACTATTTTCCTTAACTTTTGGTAAAATTCGGACTTCATTGAACATCCGAAAAAATTACCTAGTTTTCCGCGAAAAAAAAATGAAGATAAATTTCACGTGAATAAAATGTGGAAAATTTCAAGTTTTTCGAGATGAAATTTGAGGAGGAATTTTGTAAGAGTGGAATCTGTTCTGTTTCCATCAAATCAACTGACAATACTGAGGCTGAGAGGCGAGTGATTCAGATGACCATGGGCCTCAACCAGGTGGGGGGCACTCGACATCTAGCCATTCCCATTAATTCATTGCAAACGTCTACACCTCGTAAACAACATTTCAAGCAAATAAAATTGTCGTTTTTTCCCAGTCCACTGTAAAATCAGAATTTATCGGTAATTACGTACTTGAAATACTTGGAGTGCTCGAGCTAATCCTCCAACTTGATCCTTCAGGGAAAATACCACGGAATTCTTCGTGTCTGATTGCTCTCGTTTTTCGACCATCGGCATCTTCATAAAAACGGAAAATTTTCTATTTTTTATTTATATTTTGACATTAAAGCAGTGATCCTATAGAATATTGTGAAATCATTTCGACATTCCGGTTTTTTAAATTTAATATGGAGAAGAAATAAGTCCGCGGAACTGTAAAAATATGAATATTGGCTTCTTAAGACAATTGAATATATTTATTCAAAAATTTATGTAACATAACAGGTTTCCTTGTCTCAAATAATGATAATAATAAAATGTAATGAGACAATCTACATATAATTTATGTTTAAAAGTTACATTCGATTGAAATTTTCTACTGAACATTTCTAACAAAAACTGAGGAATTCGTCATCAAAGTCGCTAATAATAATTTTTTTTTCATTCACTTTTTTTCTACATGACTTTGGAATAAGGCATTCCGCTGATTCAAGGTCTTGAATAGTTAGTGTGGAGTCATTAAGGGGGGCCATGGTGAATATTAATAGTTATCCGTTGGTCAAGAGACCCATAGATCGGCCATTCGTACGTGATGGGACATAAGGAGAAAAAACAGAACCCATTTCATTATGTCAAGGGGGAAAAAAAAATCAGGATATGGTGTTGGAATTTTTTTATGCCCATTAGACTTCCAAGCATTAAATTAGATATTCATTTTTTGTTATAGAACCGGAAATTTTCAAGGGGATTTTTAAAAATAAATTCCTTTCTCCGTCTTTGTGAATTCGAGCCAAATGGAAAAATTAATTCTTCCATTATTAATTTAATATAACAAATATAAATAGCAAATCACAATAAAATTATGAAATGAAAACTTCAATTATGAAATTCAAATCAATTATGATTGACATTTTTATTCGGCAATATCCCCTGGCAGTATTTTTTTCCAATCTGAGAGATTTTAAAATATAAAAAATGTTCACCAGTCGAATTGTTAATTGGATTTTTTAAATATCTCATTAGAAGGATTGTATAATTCAATTGAATTTAATATCTAGATTTTTACTTTCAGTGTAAACTCACATCTTTAGATTTGTGCATGGGACTTCCTTCCTTGATAGCCCATTCTTCTCCTCTCCTGTAGAGCCACATGCCCAGCAAACCCTTTCCTGATCCACTCATGTTATGCCAATGATATGCAGAACACTTGGGGGAAAAGTAATTCACTACTTGCAACCGGTTGCAGATTAAAAGAAAAGGTAAAGAGTTATTTTATTTTATTTCACACTCTTGACTCTTTACCTTCTCAGTGCTAAAATATGATGGTTAATTGAGAATATTGTTAACCTTTGGAAGAAGCTGATTCGACAGAGATTGAAACAGCAAATGCCTTCCGATGGTGGGTATCGAGCCCTCTTAAGCCCTCAACCCCTCCGTTCGCCAAAGACAAGACCAACAGTTGCCATTGGTTGCGCGAATTTTCCCTCATCCTCGATGTTCCCCATTGGTTGAATCGAAGGATATTCATGGGGGTTCTTGGCTCATTCAATTCCTCCTCGAGTCTGTTAGCACAACCATTTCTTCTTTTCAATGAATATTTCCTGACGTCACTGGAGCCTTGGAGGGCAGAAGGAAGATGGGGGATGGAAATTGAAAAGTTCAATGGGGTAAACAGCAAGTTCAAGTGCAAGTGCCAGTCTCCTAAGTCCAACAATGACACTTTCATTTATGCAAACTTTATATATTACCTAATACTTTGTGTAATTATTTATTCAAAAAGGAAAACCATATTTATCTCGACTTATCTTCTCCAACATTACAATACAACTTTCCGTGCACTAGTTTTCGCAATAGAATTATAAACAAAAAACAAAAAGAACAATGGTGATAAGCAGAATATATTTATCCTCAGATTGGATAACAGTACAGAACAATATGAAGGACACGCTTTTATTGATCACCTACTATGAATTAATAAGGTATTAAGAAGTTGTCGGTTCGAATGGTTAAGCAGGATATTGTAATTCACGATGACTGGTGACAAAGAAACATTTTTCAATGAAACCAGCAGAGAGAGAGAGGGTCTTGATTGAACGGAACTAAGACAGTGGTTAATGAAAGAGTACCCTCGTAAGGTGTATCATTCCACTATTTTATCTTTCTCGTGCTCTTTGGTACAATCAGATGCAGCACATTACCGAGACCCCATCACTTATCACTCCCACCCATATGTTTACTCATTCTCAATCTTTTCGTGTTCTTCTAAGAGGATTGCTCGGACGGGAATTCGATCACGAGATGAGTAAATGAATTAATAATGCACGGACAGAGACTCAGTAATAAAACCCGAATAGAGTACTTGAAAATACCCGTGTATTCCCCAATAGTTGAAATTAAACCAGAATTGAACAAAAATTTGTTAGGAATAAAATAAAAAGGCAGGATTCATTGAAAGGGTGCATGTCCTTAATTTCGGTGAGGAGTAAATTAACCATAAATTAACCCGCATCTTCCAATGTTCACTACATCTCACAAATCCTCATATCTTTCATGACAAAAGGCTATTGTCATCACTGCAGGTTCTGAAGTTATCTTTCTACTGGCGAATGACAAATATCACTCTCCACTCAATGAATTCCCACGGGTGATACACCCATTCATCTGAACAAGTACTGCAACAAGTACTCTTCATCTTCAAGTGATTCTGGCATCTAAAATTGTTGATCAATTCAAAGATAAATGCCACTGAGGTGACTTGGGAAAAAAAAATTAATTACTCAACGAGTAATTAATTCCATTATCCTCAGTTAATGTAAAATTGAATAGAATTCATCGGCGCGTTTTATCCTGCCGATTTATTTTATCTCTGGGTCGCATACAATTACGATTACTAAGATAAATTTCGCTACAAATTATCGCAGTGTGGTATTCAGTTTCTGTAAACACCGTAGATCCTCTTCTTCAGGGCTCTCAGCACGACTCGAGGGCTCTACATTAGGGATCGTGTCATTTCAAGAAAGACAGAATCTGCGCCCCCAATTAAATTAATTAAAACGTGCACAACCCTTACTATGATTAACATTCATGTTTATTTCTCTACAATTTTCCAATTTTGATGCAAGTCAACTTGTTAAATACAAGAAAATTGATATTTCGAAAAAGGTATGAAAAATATAGATTTTCTATTTTTTTTTATATTTCTCTCGAATATTCAAGTAATTGTCGATTTTCAGATCCATCCGACCGTGAAAATCCCTCGAAATATGGAAAATTCAAATAACAATCTCTCCGATTGTTCAATCTATTGAAAATTGAATAGTATTTGATATTGAATTCTCACGACGACTCTGGGAATTCCACCTTTCACTGAAAAATCAATAATCGCATCACAGGAAAATCCAATGTTCCTGAATTTTTTAGATGAACAATAAATTATGTGAATGTTTTCAATTTAAATTGATTTTGGAAATAAATAAATAAATAAATTGAACTCGCATAATTGAAAATTCAAGTGAAATTGACTGGAATTTCAAGAAATTTCTAACAGTCTACGAAATATGTTTCCATTTTTTTCCCTTTTTTTTCGGCGTATGTATTTATTTTCTGTGTACGTCTCCGTGAAATTCGGCATTGTTACAGGCCGAATGAACCTCATCTCATGTATCTTATTAATTTGCTAAGGGGCGTCGTTGCCACCCCTCTTCACCTCATGGGGTGGGTGTAAATCCGGCGCTTGCGTCTCGGTGCATCAGGAAGAATCAATATTACCCTCGACAGCAGCGCTTTTCAGCAGACGTCTCGCCGTCAACGTCGACGTCGAAGAGTGCCACCGCCGTCGGGCCACCTCCAAGGTATCACCTCTCACAAATTGTGAGAATGGCTGACACCGAGTTTGAAGAATTGGGACATTATTTCGACCGATTGCCACAGCATATCAAGACCCCAATATCAAATTACACGTAAGACTTATTAATCATTCTCATCTGCACTCAACACTTTTCTATAATTCAATAATTAATGCTACATACAGTCGTACATTTATATGATTCCATGTTTAAATCACTGAAAAATGACTTCTGCATAAACCCCGAGAGCAATTTGACGAACTCTCTTTTCAAAAGTAACGAAAAATCGTATTCAATTCATCTGATAGTTTTTCGAATCGGTTCCGTATTATTTTTAGGAATCGAAAATTTTTCGAAATTGACGTGTGATAAAATGTGATATGTAGGTATATTTTTTTTTTACGCACAAGTAATTTTTCGAGAGTTTCGTCTTGTGGAATATGTGACTTTCAGTGTTAATTATTTGAACTGACCCTATGGCAAATTTTCAATTATGTAGTTAATGAGGTGCTAATTGGTTCTGGACTACCTGCGGTGGATGAACAACCACAGTGTTAAATTTTTAATTGATAAAGGTGACTTTTTGATAAGTCTCGTAGCAGTTGCAGTGCGAACCCGACCTTTCCTCTCAACCCCTCGCATTTACGTCGATACTCGAGATGACCCGAAGGAACGAGCGCTGCTCCATTTGGGTTGACTTGTAAAAAAAAAGATGACATTATATTTGACAGCCAATTACCGATTCCCAAGACAGCTTCATCGTACGTGGATTACAGTCGAAATATCACGAAATTAAAAATTTCCCTGACACTTCCATAAAATTCACAAATTTTGAGACCCGCGAGGACGAAAATTCATCAATTTATTCAAAGTTCTAATTCGATGAAAATATTTACTTAATTTCCGACATTTTTTCTGCACTGAGAAATATATATCAATTATTATCATCTATATATATTGGCCACAGTATGCAAAAAGGTAACTGTGGCCAAATAAATTTACTTGACGGAAATTAATGAATTTATTTTTCCGCATTTAGAATTTTTTCCTGCATGCAGACATCCCCGGAATATATCTGATATAAGAAATATATATATATATATTTGCGGCACAAAATGATATAGGCTATATTTATGTTCCATGTAATAATTGGCTATATTTAATCTATATTTTTGTCATGAGAGACATTTTCAGGCATTCGTAATTCAGTGATTCGCGAAAACATTTATTTCAGGTGTTCTGGAAATATTGATAAATTGTACGACATACGTATGGCTTCGCTTGCCCTCCTCGATCTCCAGATTACGGCTCTCAGTTTCTTCAACCGGTTTTCATTACTTCTTTTCCAGGCTTGTACATGATGTCATGCTTGATGACTCTCCGACGTCGTCGCAGGCTAGCGATGGGGATGTTAGACGTTCCTGCGGCGGAATCCTGGGAGATTCCGATGATGAAGATGCAGGGGTGATCCATCGACATGATAATCAGAGTGGACACACCTCCGGGGATGATAGTGAAGACTTGGATCATCATTCGTCTATTGTTGCTGACAGCGATTTCAGGTATACGAAGAGAAAATCTCTCGAAAAATTCTGCTATCAAGCGGTAGACTAGAATGCCCGAATTCGTTTTAGATGCTTTAAAGAATTGGCTTGGAAAATTAATCATTTGAAAATTGGAATTCCTAGTAAAATTTCTGAGGATTTATGCGGAGCTGTCACGTCAATCCCAAGAACATTTGCGTACTCTCGCTCATTGAAAAAAAAATCTGTTTATCTCAAGAATTTTGGCGTTAAAATAAGAGCGAGCAATTCTAGGAGCTAATAATCTGTACACTACCTTCAAAGAAATTTCATTTATTTTTTTTTCAATACTGCGCTAAATTAATCAAAATAATTTTTTGTGGAAATTAAATGAAATAAAAGGAGTGAAAGAGTGAGGAGTGAAGTGAATGAATCTTATTGATTTGACTGGTGAATGCGATTGAATGACGTAGTATAAATGATTGATTGATATACATGGAGGTGAGAGTGAAGTATAGAGTAGTTTGCACTTACAACGAAATGCCTGTGGGCTTTTGGAATTTTTTACAATTAGCTTGTTCGGTGGACTGAGCAGTAGGGGTAGATACACCAGTTTGACTGCGGTCTTCGCATCGACGGGTCGTGAGAGTGCTGTAAGCGATGCCGGAGGCTCGTGCTCCAGTCTGGGCTCCTGGGCAACCCCTGAACATCATCCCAATCGCCCTGGCAGCAGTGGAAACGAGAGGAGGCGACGAAGACTTCCGGAAATACCCAACAGCAAAAAATGTAACGAAAAATTCGATGGATATTCGATAAATATTAACAGAAACCACTCCAATGATTTTATTTATCATCTTGACAGCACTGAATTCGTCACCCTCACTGGCTGAGGAGTTGGCAGGTGCCACTGGATCATCTAGGCCTCACCTGGTACTTCGAAAATGCCATTCGAGGCTTCGCCACGAGGACAGCTCACCGGACAGCGAGAGGATGGCCACTGATAGCGGTCATAGCACTGCACATTCCCCTGATAATGGTCCTAAAAGTGTCTCTCCTATTCCCTGCAATACTCTGCAGAATACTGAGTCGGTTTCCCCGAGCAGTACTCCAGGTGATTCATGTCGTCGTAAAAACTTAATGAAGTTGTGCCATTCACGGAATTAATAGATTTAAGAGATAATTCTATAATTACTGGGAGGAAATAATTGGATGAAAAATTTTTTTTTGCATGAAGTCATTCATTTTGAGATATTGATTTATGACATCCAAAGAATGATTTATTTAATGATTTGCGATCAATATTTGGGGGCTTTTAATTGAATTGGAGTTGCTATTTTATTAGGGAGCGGGGGCATCCCCTTCACCCAGTTGGAACTTCTGGAGGCAACCCATCGTGGTCTTCACAAATTTATTCCCCGTCATCACGACGAAATAGACCTCGAAATTGGTGATCCAATTTACGTGCAGAAAGAGGCAGATGACCTGTGGTGCGAGGGAGTAAACCTGCGAACAGGTCGTCAGGGGATTTTCCCATCTGCCTACGCAGTCGACATGGACTACAGTGATTTTGATCCGACGGCACCAAAAGTCAAGAGGGAGAGATATCTGTTGGGATACCTTGGCTCGGTTGAGACACTCGCACACAAAGGAACTGGGGTGGTTTGTCAGGCTGTCAGGAGAATTGTTGGAAATACATCTGTGGATTCGCCGGATTCACAGAGGTGTATTCTCGAGGTGTCCGATCAGGGATTGCGTATGGTAGACAGGAGTAAGCCACGAGTGAGTTCAATTATTTTTCTAATTAATTCAACCATTTTAATATTTGCAAGATTTACCCAATGATTTTAAGAAATTTATCGGCAAACGAAAATGTGTATATAATTTTCTAAATAATGTCTAACGATTATTCAAATCTTATTATATTTTAAGAAATCATCCGCAATCTTTTCCTCAAAGATATTACGTCATATTATCTAGTTATTAATTTTGTCGGCTGAATTTTAATAATGAAATAAAGTAGAGTGCAATTTGTCAGATGTAAAATTTTTGTTTTCAGCAGAAAAATGGACCGTGTCACGATTATTTTTATTCCTTGAAAAATGTATCATTCTGTGCATTTCATCCTCGAGACCACCGTTACCTCGGTTTCATCACAAAGCATCCAACCCTTCAAAGGTTCGCTTGTCACGTGTTCATCGGACAGGAGTCGACAAGGCCCGTTGCTGAAGCAGTTGGGTAAGTCTCTCAGACAAAAAATAACAGTTAAATAATTCTGAAATTCTATGCAACCCATAATTTTTGACATGATATATTTTTTCAGACGAGCCTTCCACCGATTCTACACTAAATTCATTGAGACTGCTTTTCCAATTGAGGACATATACATTGAGTAAACTTACTTTTAGTATTTCACTGGAGGCCAGGATATTGAGATATCCCCAGGCCCACGAGACCTACAGATATCCACTGTACATAAACCCCCATTAGGTGTAGATAAATATATTATGAAAAAAATAAAATTGAAATCAAAGAAACCCACGCGACAATTTCACCCCAAAAATCTCTCCTCATTCGTTTATTCTCATGTGATTATTTTCATTTCTACAAGCATCTTGAGCAAATTCATCCCATCTCTTCCGATAACTTCCGGTTTCTTTAGTCTGTATATGCACATAATATTATTCATTTGAATTGCTTTCATATGTCTTTGTAATATTGAGAATGGAAAAGTTTGAATGAGATATTAATTGTCTCCAAGGACAATGGGAGAGCTCACTGGATCAAATATTCATCGAAATGTTTGAGAAATAAATAAGAGAAAAAAAAAACAAATATTTGAGAAAATTAAAAGCCACCTGTTTTTTTTCATTTATGATCATCAAAGTATAAATATAATAACGTATTTACAATATTATAAAGTTTTAACGTTATGTTTAAACAATATGCTTAGGTATGTTTATTGTATCATAATCATAGTGCCGACTGTCTGTGTCACATCTGCATCCACTCCGAATTTTCATTCATGTCAGTAAAATAACGAGAAATAATAATAGAACAAAGTTATTGACTTTTTAAAATAATCGAAGGTAGGGTGAATGGGTTTCTCTGTAAAAACCCTAAAATCCAATTGTTTGCGAAAAAATTATAATTCAGAGAAATTGCGGTTCGTTACATTTGCGGTTTATAGAGGCAAACATTAATATTTCAAAATATCTTGAGCAACTCAATGGACTTATTAATTTCAGAAAAAAATGGTATAAAAATAAAATTAGGCGATTCAAGTTTTTTCCTTTCAGTCTCATGATAAAACATAACTCCTCTGACATGTATAATAAAAATTGTCGTTTCTCCTCGATACTCATCATTTTCAATAATTAAAGAGAAAAAAAATATATTTGGATTACATCAAACACAGACAGTTTGAATTTGAAATTTGTACTATACATTAGTTCGGAGTCAGGGAGGGAGCTACGATTTCTAATAAAATTACCATAAATTATTTTCATAAAATCGGTGCTGAAACACGTCTGGTAATGTTACAAATTATGTGATGAGTACGACATACATGTTATTTATCTTCATTAGAAATTATTTACAATATTTTCCTCTTCACAGTGAAGGCATAGAAACATTTTTCTTATTCCTTTATCCAATGAGAGGTGGGTATTACTTGACGACGATCCACTGCTGTGATAATTAAGCAGAAGTCAAACTTGATAACAAGAAAACACTTTCAAAGTCTTCATTTAGGGCATATTCCCGAAATTTACATTGCACAATTTTATAATAAAAGAAAAACTTTCCTCAATAACATCAAGACGATTAACAATTTCATAAAAATAGGCCGAAATATCAATAAGAATGATAAATTAATTTCAAGATTGACATAAAGCGTCGTTGAAACGTCGTCATCGATGTAAAAATTGCCTCGGATCATTCAGTGACAAATTTACAGTAAATATCATTGTACGTAAGTATATTAGTACACTTGCTTAAAGCCCTAAATTATGCATCTAATGTATATGCTCGTGTGACATACATCCTCGTCTCACATGACCTACCAAATAATTCCATATTTTTTTTGTCAAAAGCATCATTTATGAAAAATCTTGTAACCAATCGTCATGAGAATTATTGAAACAAATAGCTTGTAGTTCAGAGGATAATCGTTCCTCCACAGAATTTAATTATTTTCCCTTCACCTCCTACTGATTTTATCCCAAAATTCACCTCAGAACTCTTGTCAGGATGTATGTCCCTGTGTACACGGGGTGCATTTACTGAAAAGTCACTCAAGCGAATAACAAAAATTGCATTGTTTTTCCAGTACTATTCTCCAATTATAATCCTCTTCACTCTACGCCTCTTAGTAGTACACGATCAATAATTCATGTTACAATAATCATAATATGTATATATTTTATATTTATATATGTATATAGTAAAATTAACATTGCAGTCTTACGGTGAGCCGATTAAAACGATGGCAACGATTCAAACGTCATCTTTTTTTTTAATCAGTTTCTTTTCATTTTTTTTTACTTACAATCTTAGTATTAACGTCGTAATTGCCTAGTACAGTAGATGGGAACCTTTCTCTGTTATTCCTTCGTTCATTACTCATTATCCCCAGTCTAAATCTGATAGACACATCGGATAGAGGTAGTTTATACTCAGCCATTTTGTTTGTGTGTAATTTTTGCCATTGAAAATAGCAAAATGAGAACTCCTGTTGCTGCTACGATCGGTTCAATAATGTCCAATAATATCTGTCTTAATATGAGGCGTTTACTCCATTGCAATTATGCATTTTTTTCTCCACAATTGTTTCGTCCATTTGATTCTATTCCTCTTATTATTGAGTCTTTTAATCTTCCTCTGCTATTTGCACGGCGAAATCCCTCTGTTGATTGCACAATTCATTCTCGTTTCAACATCATCAGTCACTATTTTTTTTTGATCGAAATAGTTTCTTCTTACAGTGCGTCAATTTTTCGTGGTTCTGAAATATCCAAGGACGTTTATCAGTGAGTAAGAACTTGGTCGTTTCCACTCTCAATTTGAAAAAAAAAAAGAATTTAATCGAGTCATTCGATATCTGGCAAGAAAAACAATTCACTCCGTCATTTTGTAGTATTGGTTGGCTCCTCCAGCGATTGGATTCAAACGAATACTTGATTCGAGAACATCTGGGGAGTAGTACGTCCTTAAAGTACGAATGTTGTATGCCACATTTCACTGGGGTACAATAGGCGACAGTGAGCCTGTGGACTTGATTAGATTTTCTTAATTCCTGGGGCGAAGGACGAGGAGAATTTAAGTTTCGTCCTTCTTGGATTTATCTCAAACACCTACGTTCTGCTTAACGGTGGCCTGGATACTGTGATGATCCTGCTGGAGGCTCTTAATCATTTTCTTTTGAATTTCGTGCTCAGCCTGAAGTAAAAAAAAAAAAATTTCAGTCCAACCGAATAATGATTAATTTTTAATTATTTCGGTAGTAAAGTGGTGAAACGAAATGAGTTAATTCAGCTCCAGTGATTGACCTGTTTGCATTTCCCAATTAGCTCTACAAAAATTTCGATTTGTTATTCACCTGAAGCTGATCGAAGTTTTCTCGCTGTGCTTGTAACTCTGAATTTTCAAATGCCAGTCCCAACTCATTGATCTGCGACCCCTGGTACTCTATGCTGTCCTGAAGATGCGCATAAGTCTGTCTCAATGTCTCGTCCACCCCCTGCTTGATAGAATAGAAAACGAGTAATTTATCATTTCAGCTTACTCGTTATTAAGTGTTTATAAACTTCGATACATACGTCAGGTACAAGGTGAAGAATATCGTCCCTCGAAGAGTCATCTACAACATCAAAGGAGGAAAAAATCATTTAAAAACTAATATTTAAATTTACCAGGCAGAAGAAGTGTAAAAATCTTTTTTGTAGCTGTAACAATACTCCGACGGGCAAGTACATGTAACATGAAACACTTGTTTATTGAATTTCGTGATAAAAGGGGCTTCAACTTACTGTCAGGATTTATAGGATGTCCAATTTGGTCCAGCATCTTCAAGATATCTACAAACAAAGACCATAATTAGGATCTCTGTCTTTGAAATATCCAACAAAAATCTGGTGGTCTGTACGGCACAAGAGGACGTGAGCAAGTATAAATGACGAAGTGCTAAGCCTCGAATTGATTAAATAATTTCGTTCTGAATGAAATTGGATAAATGCAGTGTTGGAATGTTCCTGTGGTGTCATACATGTGTAGAGGATATTTTGTGCCACTACAGTTCGTCCTCTTGGCTGGGAAAAGAGTTTCTTGTGGGCGATGTCACTACAGTTGTACCTGGATTCGACTTCATAATATCCTGGAGACTCGAGTTGTCTGACTGCTCTTCATTAGCATAAAACTCGTGTCGTTGTCTCTTATCTGGTAGTTCACAGTCTTGCTCCTCCAACGGTCGTTTACCACAGGACTCCTCTGACATATCAAGGGTCTCAGTTTTTATGAACATTACCATACTGTCTGGTTTACCACGATGACCCAGTGGTGAATTTGTTTCGGAATACGGTGAATCATCCTCAGCTTCGATTAGTGATACTCCATTATTTATTTCTGAATTTAGGATTGAAGGCTTTTGGGGTATCTCAAAGAAATCTTTGCCTCGAGAGATCACTGGTCGCACGTGATGTGTCACTTGCATTCTGACCTGAAGATCAAATTACGAAACAATTGTAAATGTTAACAATAAATAGAACAGTAAGAGGTAAAGAATAACAACTCGATTTATAGCGAGAAAACAATTAAATGTCAAGTTCAATTGTAAAAATTTTCGAAATTCCAGCGGACCAATATTATTAACTTTCAGGAATTATGTCGAAAACGTAAGAGAAAATTTTCCAACAACAAGGTAAAAAATGAATAATTATATACTTCTCTTTTGTCAAAGGGAAGTAATGAACGGAAATACTGGCGCAAAAAGCTATCAAAGAGTGAGACATTAATGGCTGAAAAATGAAGAAAAAAATGTTATCATCGGGAAATAACTCACATCTCCGAGGGCATCAGCACCAGAACTATCGAGTTCCGGAATAACTTTGTCAGCAATTCGATATTTTCCAGAGTCCTGGTTGTTCGGCGATGCTTGCGCCTGCGGTCGACGCCGCGGCTCTTCGCTATTTTTTTCATCTTGACTGCTAGCAGGAGATCCATTACTCATTTCCCTCTTCACCTGTTTTCCTTTGCCTTTCCCAGCTTGTTCGATCATCTTCCCCACGATTTTGCTTGCCTGCACTGAAACCGGAGGTAGTTTATCAGAGTACATTGCGGCTTTGGCAGATTGGAGGTCCGGAGCAGGTCCCGGAGAGCTCGGGAATTTTCCATCGACCGGAGCTGGTGATGACAGATCACTGATCAATTGAAGAATCACCCCCTCGAGTTGAGTTGGATCCTCCACACTTGGCGCCGAATTCGATTGTATCTTCATCAACTCTGGCTCGATTATCGCACGACTAGCATTGGTGATCGTTGCGGAATATCGATCCTTCATTTCTCGAATTAGTTTCTCACCCTCGTCCTGATCAACCAGAGTGTTTACACAGACGAAGGACTCGAAAGTCCCTGTCTTCAGGTCCATCTCGAGGTATCCGTGGGTTCTGAGGTAGATAAATTCACCGGTTTTCGAGAGAAGTCGGTAACAAGACGATCCAAAACCTTCTCGACGATCGTACACTAGAAATTCATTGTGATATTACTCTATTTGGTCTTTTATCATGAGTATTTATATTTTTTCACGAAGTCATTCATTTTCAAGATAATTCGACTAACCATGGAATTTTTATTTCTAACTCATGCTATTCTATTATTCAAAAATATCGAACAATTTGCTTTTTTTTCCCAGTGTTTTACCATTTCTCAATATTTGATGCCTTAAAGATCGTTGACACTTTTGTTAAACTGCTATTGACGACATTTATCAAAAATACTTACTCTGTTTCAATCCAATCATCGTCCACCTGACATCATCTTTATGCATATAGCGGAAAGCATTAGCGCCAGAAACCTCTTCCGACATGTATCCAGCAACAACTGATATCCTATGATCGCAGAAGATGATCCGACCGTCAACCAAATGACGTGTCACATACTCCTGTTTAGTGGCTTCGAATAACGATAATTCGGTAACACGTCGTTGCATAAGACGTGCCATTCCCACGAAAATAACATCATTACTCGTTGAAGTGTATTCTGTAATGGTTTCCCATGGTGAAGTAATTGAAATAAAAAATAATGTTGACTATTGCTTTCAATAGATTTCAGTGATATTCTATGGTTTCGAGTTGTATAATGATTTCGTACCTCGATTGCCCTTTCGCTTCTGACAGAAATCTGCAAACCTGAGGACTCCTGAGATATTGAAACACTTGTACTGTGTGTGCTCACCCCTGGAATTCGTTCTCTGAGCTATTTTTATGCAAAAATTTCGTCGTTGCTCACGAAAATTTGGCTCGACGGTTGGATTGCTATCGTCGTCCGAGCTGGAGTTATGATCTTGATTGGAACCGTCAGTTATCGAGGGGAGAACTTCAGTGAGTGTTAGATTTCGCGTCAACTCCTCGTGGTCCTCTGGGTGTACGTAACTGAACAGAGATTTTCCCAATAGCTCCGTCTAGAAGGATAATGCCATTTGGTTTCTCTTTTTTTCATTCCATATTTGAAATAAAATCAAGACAACAGCACTGTGCACGATTTTTATCTCAATTTTTCGTTTTCAATTTCAGTGATTATGATTTTGTAATCGGGCTGAAAATTCTGTACATCTTCCCAATCATAAAAACTATATTGACAATCACAATTAATCCCTACAAGTTATGGGTAAAAATTTAGATAAGATAATTACCAAAAAATCGCTTGAAATCGAGTGAAAAAAAAATTTGAAATTCAGCACTTAACTAGAAAATGAATTCTGTAGTTAGTAGACGTGGGTATGACGCCAGTCTTGTTTTCACCGCAGGTAATCCCGCCTTAGAATTTTTATTCTTTCCCTGTAGTCATACCCACAATAGACGTCTGATTGCAGACGTCCTGGGGGAACAACTTGACGTATCTCCTTGAGTATGTGAATGTGTAAAAAATAAATCTGGAGTGAAGATGATTATCCCTCGTCAAGTACAGACAGAGAGAATTATCGTTAAGTCTCCGCAACGAGTTGGTTAAAAATTCGAAGATGTTCTTGATATTTCTATCGAGAATAAATTCTCCATCTTTGACATATCCGTCAATGAAGAGATTAAAGAAGTCATTAACGGAATCGTATTTTCATTTATCGGCATCATTCATTTTTATTGAGAGATGAATAAATTATTTCAATTGCTTAAAGATTTGAGGCATCCTTGGCATCAAGTGCTCTCATAGCTCAAGGGAAAAGGTAAGTATTATCAAGGTTTTTCAGCTTCTCCTCGTAGTGACACGTGTTTACACCGGAAAGTGTCGTTTCATCACGGAAATTGCGGCGCAATCAAGACTTCAATAATTGTGCGAGCATATTAATTGCTCCAGCCCTGGGGTGATCGATAGTTCGCAAAACATGCACTTTTTTGGAGTCTCGCGAAATTTGAATTCAGTGCGATGAATTTTGGTATTGAAAATTCAAGAACCTCATGAACTTTCAGATTTTTATTGAATATTCATCACAATTTAAAAAAAAAGGCATTCTCTCGCAATTCAGTGAAAATGCAATCTCCGATTATTTTGACATTTTTCGAGAGAATGATTCATCCTAGTGATAGTATAGCCTTTCCTACTGAATTCAAATGCGAACTTCTGCTTACACGGAAAAGTATCGTATTTTTTTAAAGCAGAGTATTATCTACCAGGAGCATTGACATGTTTTTAAATATATGATAATATTCACTTACTGGTGCGTGTCCTAGGGGTCCCTCCACACTCCTACTCACATGTATAATGTTTCCAGTAGTTGTGACAATTATGACAAAAGCACCATTACCATCGTAACTCTGAGGAATAAAAGCAATATTCAATTTCCACTACTCTCACGGTTGCTCACGTTTAACTTACATCGAGGAAAACTTGTTCAAGATCTACTCCATTGAATTGATCCGGAAGGAATCCTGGAGAGCCTCTTCCGAGAGCTGTAACATGTTTTAACAGTGTGTTCCTTTTCATATCATGGGGCTTCTTTGATTTGTTAGAGATGAAGAACGCCGAGGCTACCGGGGGTTTACGGAATTGAAAAGGCTATTTTTCACGGATCACATTTTTCATTGGAAAACACGGCCTCATGGTTCAATGCACATTTTTCATTTTGTTTCTACTGCGGTGTTTCCACTTGCCGGGATTTACTGAAAAATCTGGCACCTGTTTCGCATTTTT